AATCATTTGAATTTTAAAAAAACTTTCTTTAAACTGTCTTTCTGCCAGGGAATTCCTAAGAGTTTTTACATTCTGAGACTGCAGTGGGTTGAAACCTGTAATTTTTGATTGCTAGAAATATTGATGATTGATTGACTTTTGTGTCACATATTCTGTCACATAATTTGGGGGACTTAATTAATGTACTAGCTGCCTGATAAAGATTCACTGGTGTCTGTGTGCTTTATAGCTAGTATAGAGCCTGTAGGATCTCTTTGTGTTCCTGTCCATGTGCCTTCAGGAAAAGCTGGAGCCCAGCTGTGTTTAGGTATTGATTTCTACTAATTTAGTGAGATATGGCAACAGGTTTAAAAGTTTTGGGGAATGTTGGCATGTGAGACCGGCTCCAGGCAGGCGCCTGCGGGAGCATGGCGGGAGGGGGGGAGAGGCGGCGGCCGCTTTTCCCCTTCGGCTCTGCGAGGCTCAGTTCTAGCGCGGGAACAGACGAAATAGCGACACAGGACTCCAGTGAAAAACACGTGTTTATTATGGAAGCGTGTTCCCGAGACAACTGGGGCACCGACCGAGGGTTGGTTATACCCCGTGCCGGGGGAGGGAGGAACCTGAGCCACGGCCAATAGGACAGGGGCAGGGAAACCCCAGAGACCCTGGGGAGGCAGGAGCGGCAATGGGAAAGGCTGGGGGGAGCAGGGACAGACCGCGTGGCGAGGGGGAGTGATAAGGGAACAAAGGGTCGGGACAAGGGACCGCGGGGGGAGGGGGAATGGGGTGGGGGGGAAGAAGAGAGAATTAGAAATCCCGCAGGGGAAACAAAATTTGTACCTTAATTAACATGACTTTTCCCACTGGAAAACAGAATAGGAAGTTGAATCACAGTGGGTTGGAAGACCATTTTGTAGGTTGCCTTTGTAAGGGATGTGTACCCTCCTTTCATTGGCAGAAATTGATTGTTGATGTGTTCAGGTGCAAGTAGAAATTTTCTGTGGACCTTTTCTGTTATTTTTTTTTATACTTATCTTGTGTTGCCATCTGAAATATGTTTTACTTTTGGAATACTGGGAATAGCTAGATCTTGGATTAATTCTGCTTACTTAGTTGTCCTGCTATGGGAGGAGAGCACCTGAAGAATAATAAAGGACTAGAATCTTTGTCCTTTGAATTAAACTAATGTGAGAACATGAAAGGTACATATTCAGCCTTATCCTGAAATTGATTGTTGATGTGTTCAGGTGCAAGTAGAAATTTTCTGTGGACCTTTTCTGTTATTTTTTTTTATACTTATCTTGTGTTGCCATCTGAAATATGTTTTACTTTTGGAATACTGGGAATAGCTAGATCTTGGATTAATTCTGCTTACTTAGTTGTCCTGCTATGGGAGGAGAGCACCTGAAGAATAATAAAGGACTAGAGTCTCTGTCCTTTGAATTAAACTAATGTGAGAACATGAAAGGTACATATTCAGCCTTATCTTACATCAGACTGTTATATCTGCTCCCAGCCTGTTATGTCATTGAGGCATGCCCTTGGTGCTAGTTAAATACTAGAGGAAGTCTATGCACAGCAAAACAAAACGTATTTCATTTGCTCACCTCTTAATCGTGCTACTGACCTCCTCACTCCACACTGGTTTCAATAGTGCCATATCCAACAGGAAGCTTTGGGCTTTACATTTTAACTCCTAAGAAAGGTTACAAAGTGCACAGCCTTTCTTAATGCACAGCTGTTTTCCATTTAATGGTATATACCAGCAAACCATAAATCATATATACATATTCTTCTTTACCTTACATGGCTCAGACTGTTCTAAGAAAACTGGTTCTACCATCCAGTGATTCCCTTAGCATAATCATTGCTTGGGTAGACCTGTTTGGAAAGATCTTGCTAAGCCAGTGCTCTGGCTCAGACAGGACTGCGTGGCGCTCATGCTGATTCCTTGAGTTTGTTCCTAGTTCCAGTGAGTGTGTTTTGCTTTAGTTCAGCTGCAAAGTAACTGTAAGGAGCGCAGGATTGAACAGGAAGACCAGACTGTACAAAACAGTTTATTTGTTTTGCAGAAGCTTGCTGTGGTTTTTCTGGTTGATTGTTGAGAAAGTCAGTGAGGTTGAAGATTAGAGCCTAAAACAGAAGTTGATCTCACCTTTTTGTCTTTAAAGGGAGGCTTGTCTGAAGTTTCTGAGAGTGCATTTCACTTCCAAAAGATTTTAGTTGTCTTAAAATAGTAAATGTGAAAACTTAAACTTACTGTGTGGTAAATTCTTATTTAACCTGCAGTTAATGTACATTATCATTTAGCAGAATGACTATTGTAGCAGGAATGACTATTTCTGAAAATCTGCATGTGGAGTGGAGTCAGTGTAGAGCACATGGTTTTGATATACGAATTGCCCTATTTTAGGCCCCAGAGTTTAGCCATTGTTACTGTTGGGACATTACAGACTCCTCCTTTTCAGCTAAAGTCAATTGTTTTATTTGTTCTACTGATTTTTTTTTTCTTTTTTTTTCTTTTTTTTCCTGATTGGCAAGATCAAAGGAAGCTATCTTGTAGCATGAACAGAATGTAGAGATGTGTAGCTAAAATACTAATGTTAATTTATGTAGTAAATTTGAGAAAAGGGGAGGTATGTGACTTGTGGCCTTGATGGTAATGATATATGTGTACTTAATCTGCATCCTGTCCCTGTAAACAAGCTTTATTAACAACACTCATTTCTGTTACTTAGCTAAGCTGGTGTTTTTCTGGTGTTCCATTTGATAATATCAACTTTTTATGTATCTTATGGAAGGATAATACAATACAATATGCACTGCCTGTACACAAGAAGTAAAAGATATTACAGTGTAGGGAATGTGGGCTTTTTGGATAATCTTCAAATTACCCTTTGCTGTACAGATAAAAGTTTGTATTAACTGCCCTTAACTGAGAGAGCTTTTAAGGATTATATTCACTGCTGTAATAATGTATAGCACATGCTACTGATTTCTTACTAGAAAGAAATCTTTCCATCATGGAAAGAAGACTTTTAGAGTAGATCAGCATCATGTGAGAAATCTCTACTATCTTCCTGAAGCCAGGAAGGATGAGAAAATAGCACTGCTACCAGGTGCCAGATGTCTGCACTAGGAAGACAAGCAGAAAGCCCAGCCTTCGTCCCCTCCCCACCATCAAAACAAAACAACCAAAAAACAACAACAAAAAAACCCCAAAAAACTAAAGAAACACCCCCTCAAAAAAACCCAACCCACATGTGTCATATTTGGAAATTCATGATTCCTATAATTTAGCTTTTTCTAGCTACATCTCCCAGCAAAAAAAAAAAGAAAAAACAAAATCCTCTGGAGAAAAGTTGCTAGAGAGCTGGTAATCATCTGATTGAACATTCAGTGTGCTTGCAATATTTGAAAATTAGAATTTGTAAGTGGTTTGGATTTAATCTGTCACATATGAAAGACTCTACCCATATGCAAGCTAGAAGATTCTATTAATCTAATAGAAGAATAATAGAAGTTATTACAGAAGATGCTAGGAAGGCTCTGAAGAATTCTGCTGAAAAACTGAGTAGTGGGAAGGAAAGTGTGAAATGAAGGTAAAATCTGAATTTCTGAGCAGCTTTTATTAACTTTCTGGCTTCAAAAAGGTAACTATCTATACATCTATGCAACTTGTAAGTAAATTAGGATTTGAAAAAGGTTGATTAATTAGACTTTGGGTTCTCTAGGGAAACAATTCACAAATGAGCTCCAATTCTGTCTCCAATGGTAATGGGAAATGGTAACCATTTTTAATAGTTTTTCATTTGTTTCTAAAATGATACTGAATTGCTGTTAAACTTTAGGAGCAAACTAAGAATTAATGCCTGAGGTGATGCCCTGTACCATAACTTAGGAAGTACTTACTTTTACTTGCAACTTGCTGTTGGTCATGTTTGTTGTGTAAGCAAAGTCATTCAAAGTTTTTCAGGGAAAAATATCTCTTAGAAATTCTCCAAGTATAATATCACTGTCAAGCAAAAGAAAGCCTTTGTTGACAAACAAGGTATTTAAGATTTTTAATTTTTTTTTAATCTTTATGACTAAATTTCAAACTCAAAAGCTATTTTCTGTATGGCTTGTTAGAATGGCCTTTGGAAAAGTACAGAAAATGGTAAATTATGTAAAACTAATAGTAAAATTAGAATTGCATTCAATATTTTTTAATTCTATACTGTAGTTATAAATTTTCCTTAAGGTGGAATAAGGGCTAACTTGTTATGTAAGGTCATGCTTTTAGAAAGACCCCCTTTATCTGTTCATTTTGTGTGGCTTTTTGCCATTCAGTCTTCATCAGGTTTAACTGCTTTGCAGAAGTGGTAGTAATGGAAAATAATGCCTACATGTGTAGTAGTGAGGCTTCAAATGCCAGGTGATTTTATGTATTTTTTACTGTGACTTCATCCAGGTTGAGAATACATGAGGCTCAAAGCAAGAGTGGCATTACATGCCATCAATAGGGAGTTTTCCATGTTTACTTTCAATTACCTTGTTGCCTTTATAAAGGACAACCAGGGACCTGGTTCAGGTGGCAGCACGGCAGCCTGGTCTCAGCCGGGCTGCTCGGGCTAATCAACACACGCAGACACCAATATGGCAGACGGTTGAAAAGCGTTTATTATCCTATCTCGTGGGTTTAAATAGTTTTTAGGGGTCTTTGCTACGTCAGAGGGGGGTTGGGGGTCTCAGGGGTTAGTCGGGTAGTGGAAATTTACCAGAGCAGGTGTGGCTACATTCTTCTGGGGCTTCTGGGGTTAATAGATAGCGTGGGGAAGAGAGAGGGGGAGTGGTCTATCTTTCCATCACATCCCGTGGTGGTCTTCCGCTCCGCCTGTCCCTATCTACCACATTACCTGCTTTTGTAGAATATGGAGAAGAGAGTACAACAGTATGCTATGAAAGCCTATCTCCAATATATTGATTTCTGTACTTGGATTCAGTATTTATTTTCACTTTCTGTGTCTTTTTTACAGAATGGACAGCAAATTGTGGATGAACCTATGGGAGAAGATGATATCAACCAACAGACTGTAAGTAAAAGATGGCTGTAATAAAAATAATACCATATTGGCGCACACTGACATCAGTTAATTCATAATGGCAGTTTGCCACTAGTGTTTTGTTGTTTGAGATTGCTGGACATGGGGTGCACTTTCAGATCTTAATATATTTGAGAGAGGTTTTTTGTCCTCACTGTCTCAGGTCTAGTTTGGCATCCTACTGTTCTCAAAATTCATTCCTCAGCCTTTAGTAGTGTTTCATGGAAGGTCAAGTGTGAGGAACAACCATGAAAGTGTCGTTACCACTGTTGTTGTTATTGGAAGGCATTCATCAAAGGAATTCTTAACCTAGGCTTCTTAAAAATAGAGATTGATACTAAACAGAAGATCAGTGAACCTTCCTGACTGTGATAATTTCTAATGTTCCTTGTCTTCATGTCAAACTTGCAGTTTACAAAGTTTCATAATGTGAAGATACCAAGTTCACTTTTCTTGTTGCAATGCCTGTGAATTTTGTCAAACGTGAAGTTTAGCTGTACTTTTGTGTTAGAGAGTACTAGCTGAATGCTAAGTCTGGTGATAAATGGCTTTGCTAATAAAAACAATTTTTGAAACTCCATATTTGGTTGGACTTCAGGGTTCATATGCTGCTATTGCGTATTGTGCGGACTTCAGGTTGTGAGTAGATGATCCGACTGTTTCCCATTCCACCTGTGCTGCTTGACAGGGAGGATGTGGAAGAGTGGTATCAGCCTGAGAAGAAGGGGAGGGTGAAGAAAAAGGTGGTTTTAGTTTCATCTTTGTTTCTCACTGCAAAGGCAACAGGTGAAATAAATATTCCCTAAACTGATACCCTTTGGCCCATGGTGGTAGCTGGTGTGTGCTGTCCCTTTTCTTAAGGCAGTGCATTAACTTTTCTCCTACATGTCCTGTTGAGGAGGGGGATTGAGAAAGCAGCTGGGTTGGGTGTCTGGCAGCCAGCTAAGGTTTATCCCTCAAAATTATTGAACTTCTCTTTCAATATTTGATAACTACAGGATGTTTACAAATGTTTCCCTGTATTTCCTTTGGAAATTTCCAAACTGCTGCTTTTTGGGTGAACAATATACAGTATAACCATCAAAAAGTTAAAACATTACTCTGGTATTTTTTCTGTCATGCTTGAGCTGCTTGGTTAAGATTGTTTTAGCTTTTTAATGTCTCAGGTCAATATTTTAGGAGTATACTTTGCATTTATTTCTAGGCTGTGATGAGTAAAAGGTTGCCAGTTGTGGTGTAAATTAATCTAGGGGTTTTTAAACAAATTCTTACTTCAACTGCTCAGTCAGTTATAGCTGGAAGTTAACCAGTGCTGTCAGTTGGGTGATAAAATACTACCTGAGCTGGGATGTGAGATTGTCAGTGCTTCATTGTTTTCGCAATATACAGACAATTAAAAATTACCATTGAAACTCATTTAAGTTGTTCTGTTTAACTTTGCACTTAAATGGACTTGGGGCACTTACATAATTGCTAACAATTTATGACATTTCTCATTTGTAACTGAGGACTACTGTCCTAGGGTGTACTGGCAAATGAGGTAAGAAGATGAAATCCTTTGGTAGGTGTATAGAGCATGCAAGTTCAGGACAGAAAGTTGCCATACTTCTGTGGAGATAGAAGGTGAAAGCTTGAAATCTACATCCTTTTGCTGTCTGAAGTGGTTGGCTAGAATGCTAATAATGGAAATGAGATAGGAAGTTTAAGATAAATATTAAAACTTAACACAGTTCTATGTACATAGGAACTCTCTCTAGTATTCTGTGTATCATAAGATAGATTGTTTCATTACATCTGTGTTCTTTTGGTCAAAAGTAAAGGTATTTACTGGAAAGCCTGAGTTACGTGGCTGTGATTCAAATTTGATGCTTGTTTTAGGAAAATCAGGAGCTGTAAAGATACCCATTTCTCAGGAATCCATGATGCTGTATGGTTCAAAGTCTCGCTTCTTTTGAAAGGGCACTCGTTCAGTACTCTGGTTTTATTGCAACAAGTGTGCTGATTATATCTGACTTTATAGCTTGTTACCAACATTTTTTATCTGTATCTCATAAATGACCTGGGACCAGCAGGAAATAAACGTAAGAACAGCTGGCTGAGGCTTAACCGGATGTGAAAACTTATGTGAACATTACTAAAAGGGGAAGCTATTTAAAGCCTTTTGTTTGCTACCTTTCTCACTCTTTTGCTGTCTGCCATTGCTTTTTGTACCTCTGTGGCCATAGAGATTGAGTAAATTAACTGAGCAAATTAATTGTTTTGAGCTGTTGCAATCATGCTGAATGCTTTATTGCTAGTTAAAGCTAATCAGAAGCTGCAGCTAGTCTAACAGGTGGCTTCCCATTTTATGTGTATGTGAAGAGCATATCATATTTGTGCTGTGTTCTTTGTTATCTGGATTCTATGCAACTGATTAAACACTTAGTACAACTGATGCATTACCATTGCATTCTACTAGCTTAAGCCTAATTATTAAACATATGAAAAATATTAGGTTCCAAGAATTTGTGAAAAGTTTTCTTTTCACTAGAAGTGAAGTTTTCATTTGTAAGTTCCAGGAAAATTTCTCTTTGGTAACCTGCAAGAACTAAAGGGTTTTTTTTCCCAGTACAGGCAGAAGTGGAACCTGTTCAGGCTCAAACCTGGGATGAACCTGTCTTCAATGCAGGTGGTGGGGTCATATTACTACCCTTGACTTCTTCCTTTGGCCCTACTTTTAAACAAGCAGAATTAAAGCATACATAGAATTAAAACTAAATCAAAACAAATCATATTGAAATATGCTGATTGGGGTGATAAAAAATTAAATCTCAGTAGCTGTCATGCTCTTACTAAAAATATATAACTAAGGTAATAATGACTAGTCAGTGGGTAGTCAAAAGGTAGGGTAAGAAATCCAAAAATAATTCAGTAGTTTAAAAGGTCTTTTTCATTTGTTTTTCTGGTAGAATTTAAATAACACATCTGTTTGCAGTCAGGAGAGATGAAAATTAAGACCATTGTCTTCCTAGTCAGTGTTTGTTATTAAAAGAGTTTATAAGAAAAGCGTGATCTTAAAAATGGCTTCAGCATACATTGGAAAAATAATTTGAAGCATGTGGACAATACAATCTCTTTGAAGTATTGCATTTGTTTGGTCAGTGCTGAAATTCTGTATTTTACATGCATATATACCATACAATGTACACTAAATCTATAAAGCACTGGAGTGGGGGTGTCAAAAAAAGTAGAGGGAGCTCATTCACCAGTTACAGCCGTGGGCAAAGCAGCCCCCATCACTCAAGCAGCAGATTACTAAATCCAGAGTAATCTGGGGTGATCTCATTTGTTGTGTCTTCATCTGTGAAAATAATGTAGGATGAGAACGTTATTCAGGAAAAAAAGTATGACAAAACTGAATGATTTTTACATTTTAAAACTTTTCAGAGAGGCTTTAGCAGATTTTTAGTTTTACCTCAATTTCTAATAATCTGTACTAGTGAGAGCTCAATGTTTCAGAAACTTTTGCTTGTCCTTCGGCAAGTTGAGGCACTGTTTCAGAAGTGCTCTAAACTTCTGTTGGATATTCCTTCTCAGGTGGTCAGTAACAGTTTCCATGTTTAAAAACAGTCATGTTTGTTAACATGACAATGAAGGCATTTCTGATTTTGATATGCTTGTTTTGCTTTTGCTGATACAACCTTCACTTTTCAATTTTTTGTGTGCATGTTTATGAAATTTTTGATTTAAATTCTTGGCTCTGTGGTAGAGGTTTTAAGACATAGCTATAATTTCTTAAACATTAGGGAAATGTTTGGATTCACCAGTGTTCGTAATCAGTTTTGGATTTCTCATTATTTACAGACTGATACTTAATTTTAGTTGAAACAGCCACTTATGTAGCTACTTGTAGCTTGGTTTTCAAATACTAAACTTGTACTTGAAAGTATTCTGTGAATCTTACATTACTTTTAGTGTATTCTACTAAATATACTTAGATATATGTACTCACGTATTTAATTTTATTTTCCCATCAAATAACTTGATTCTGGAACAAATAAGAGTTTTTTTAGGCAAACAATTTATATCTGTAAAAATTAACTTCAGTCATTTTCTTCTCAGTGACCAGACTGTGCTTTGTAAAAGGCTGAATACTTTTTTTTTTTTTGTCTAATGCGATGAAATTAGAAATTCATTATCTTCCAAAGCACTCTACTCTGCTGAAACTTGGATGAATTTTGTTAGCAACTTTGTGACATGGTGCATTTTACCTCTCTGAGGATGAACTTGCAGGAATTCATATAAGAAGTTATAGCATCCTTGTAAACAGTGCAGACCATTTGGTCTGAGATGTTAACTCTTAGATATCAAACTAATATATAAGGAAGGCAAGCCCCGGAATACTTTTTTTTCCCGTAAGATGTCATCAGGTGTTGAGGAAAGATTACAGCAAAACTTTCATTAATGTGTTCTACTGGATTTTCTAAGTGACTTCTTTTGCATTTGGTGTCTTAGTTGCAGGGTACATTCTGGAATTTGGTCAGAAAATTTGAATAATTTGAGAGTGTAGGCAATGTTCAAAGTCAAGCTGCTTACTTGTTACATGGAAAGAAAACAGATGGTAGCCCTGCAAAGCCTGTAAACTGACAGATGGAAGCTGCCACACCCCCTGTTTAATAGAATATTGCTGCTTTGGCTATACAAATGTATTTATTATGAAGAAAAGTATATTATTCAGCTTCTGAAAACTCAAAAAATTGGCTCTCTGTTCCTCAGCTGTTGACCTTTGTCAAACAAGGGCTTTTCATTCCATATGTGTACTGCTTCTTTGTTTTTTGCAAATAAATTGAAAACAATCCATACAACAGAGCCTTGCTTTTCTAGCGCTGTATAGACTTTATTTGCATTGTTACACTTCTCAAACTGAGGGTATATAAGATTGTCAGTTTATCTGAAGGATTCTACTTATACTGAATGTTTCAGCATTCAATAAAACTCAGGGATTCCCAAAT